TGACTCTATTCTTAACAATGTCATTTATATTCGCTTATGCTTAAGTATCTGTTTCGTTGTATCTCACTTTTTCTGTCTCTATTTTGCTTATTGTTTGCTTTTATTGTGTTAACTATTTGTCAGATATCATTCATCTTTATTGATTATTTTCAATAACAGTTTGTCAATGTAGTCCATCAAGGGCTAAAATGTAAAACTTAAATATGTAGTGTTCTTTAGCCTTATTATACTAATACAAAATATGTTGCATGAAAAATTTCTAACAAATTGTGCTTGTTTTCCAAGAACAGTCGATCACCAGTGAAATAATCAATCTTTTTCTCTGCGTTTCAAGCAGAATCTTTTTTTTTTCATTTGTTTACTGGTGCTCTATTTTCTGTTTGTTTTATGCCTGTTTGCTTGTTATATTTCTTTTTTTATTCCGTTTGTTTTAATTTAATATTATTTTTATTCTAATCATTGATTTAACTGACAAATAACTTTTTTGTACACATTCATTATATCTACAGCAGGTCTCAACACGTTATTATGCATCTCAATAAACTTGAAAAACACTGATATTGTTTATACCTGAATTTATAACTTGGTCACATGATGATTGTAGCAAATCAATACAACACGATCCATCATCCCTGACATCTATTGTGTAATAGTTTATCTGTTCAAAAGTCTCTCAATTTAGAACATTCACAAATGTATTTCATCCTATTTTAATTTCAAGGAAGACTTTCGAATATTGTAGAATTTTAGTGCCTGTTGCTCTCGTTTACTATGGAAAATGTACTCATTGATCTTTGAGCATCCGCTACTGCTAAGACTCAAGATAGTGTAGGTAACAGAAGCCCATAAATTTGGACTTACAAGTTACAATCATCATATTCCTTCCAAAAAATATATGTAAGTTCCACAAAATGATGTTAATATCGATCATTGAATATTTTTCTCGAAGTTTTAAATAAATGTTAGTCTGGATTATATTCAAACGGATTACTTATTCATTATAAACCATCCACACAAAATACAAGTAGTTCTTGCATGAAAGAAAAAAATTATTACGCATCACTGATCGTTGTATCAGTTGCATAAATACATTAGTGAATCACAATTTTATCTTAAGAACTAAAACTTAGTCAACTTTCTTCAGATGCTATATCATTAGACTTCATCTTTAGACAACTAAGTAGGATATGCACAAGTTTTCTGTCGATACTTTTGTTCTTGTAATAATCGCTTTAATTTCGTGACTTTTCGACGTTGTTAAAGTGTAAGTTTTCATTTCAACATTGACATCTGCCGCGTTTCCAGTACAGTAACTTGACAAATGAAGTAAAATGGTACATCAAACTACAATCTTCTTACATCTATGAAATCAAAATATATGATGCATCAATGATCTCTCATAAGCTACATTTTACGCATGGTTTGCCGACAGATGGACTCAGTAAAACTATCACTAGTTTTCTGTGAGTTATAGAATAAAAAGACCATGATATTAATTATATTTGTGAATGCGTTTAAATGCCAAAGATTTTATCCAAATTTTTGATGTAAAATATTAATTGGTTTCGTTCATTAAAAGCTTTCATGTCAATAAATTGTACGAAGGAACTATTTCTCTTCTGATTCAGAAAAATATGCAGATGATTACAAATACTATAAGGTTGTGAAAATACATGAATTTAACTATTTCAATCTGAATTTATGGAGGTGTTTGCTAAGAAATTAGTCAAATAGTCGGATAAAATATAAAATTTCAGTTACTTAAACGTAACGAGAAATTGACCCTCTCCAAAAAGAATCTTGGTCACTAACCAGAGTCTACTCTATTAACCTGTTGACTTCATTGTTGTTCTATTTTACGTTTAGTTAGTGTATATTCATAACAGAATATCAGACTTAATATCATATGTAGCTATCCATAGAGTGTCGGTGTGAAAGATTGAGAGTCTTCGTTTCACATTCACGCTTATAATTGCAACCATACCTAAATCCTAATTATCTGTAGCATTGGATCTGGCAGAGTACGAACTCAAATTGAGTTTGATACTTCTCTCTGTATCTTAAAAAATGGTGGCTCGTTCATTACTTGAATCATATTTGTTATGTTGGCAATTCTGTCATATTTTCAAAGATTGATTAGATCTTTTTAGAACTCATGCATTCGATACTCTCAAAGTACATTATACAGTAAAGAATATCGTACTTTATCAGACACAATGACAATGCTAATTATATGGTCTAAAAAATTAGCACAAATAATCCGAATAGTGAAACCAATCGACATAACCATAAATGTATCTCAGTCAATGGAAAAAATTTTGATCTACCCTAAATACACTCTGTATGATGTAATTGGTTTTTATGCTCTTTTCAAGTGTGCAATTTTCTATAAACTGGCTATTGTCGAAAAATAGGAAAAATTTAGTTTTTTCATGAAAACTGTATAGGTAACCCTTAAAGTTTCGGGATTTTAAGAGGAAATTTCTTCAAATTGAATTAAAACTATATATCATGCATATTCTACTCATTTAAATGATGTTCTAAGAAACACAATTGCCAATTACTGTATCAAACAAAGTATGACAATAGCGAACATGTTTTATTTGTTCTGAAAATTTTTTCCCTTGGAGAAAAAAGCCCTGAGGCCTATATACACTAAATGAATACAGGTTCTGTCTAAGTATATTCATCAATAGTCTCTGAATAGAATGAAAAGAAACAATATTGTTATTACACATATTCGTAATTGATTCAATGAAATTATTGGATTAATCATATTTCCATGCATTTCTTGTTTACTTGTCATTGTATTTGATTTTGAAACTGAGCAAAATGTAAAAAAATGAAAAAGGAGAAAGATTATAAATTGATCACTAATGAAATTAACAACTAACGTACGTTAGAATCCATTTTTTGAAATATTTCTAAAAGAATTTTTCATCATCTTTTATTTTATAGATAAGAATTAATCAGATAGTATCCATTACAATCGTTTTTTATATTTCACACACATTACAATGTATATCTTGGCTAGCTAATGTAGTATGAAAGCACTATGGGATTACATAGCACTTATTTTGGTGTCAGTGAAAAGTTCGCTATAGTTTTATATTTCTGTGACATTCGTTGTAGAAGCTTACATAGAAAAAACGATCAAAAAATTATTTAAACACAATGATGTCAATAACTATTGACTGTCAAATAAAAATATAAAAGAAACTCTAGAACTCTCTTTTGCATGTAAATATAGTACTATTTGAGTATTTGTTTTTACTTAGGGCATACCAAAAGTAGTGGCAGCAGTATTTTAATTTCTTATGAAAAGTCTAAAGAAATTTTCTCTATATGGACTAATAGTAAAAGTGACGCCTATTTTTCTACGATATTGTATCATTCTTGAACTAATATCATAATAGCAACGTTTCAATAAGATCTGCTCTGGTTATGATGTGTAACGGTTACACACTAGTTCACATTGTGTTCGATGTAGGTTCTTTTCTTGATTTTTCCTTTGTTCTTCGCCTCTTTTCGTTTTGTTCTCGTGTCCTCTAATGCATAATTGTCTATCTATATGACAGTATACAAAAAGTTGTGGCAGCAGAATAAAGAATGAAGTACAGAAATAAGTAGATTGTGCCTCGTCTTCGACCTCTTTATTAGCCTTCACGAAATCATTTAGACCATTTTTTCAATTATCCTGAAAGAAGAAGTTTCGTCACCATAAACAAAATATAATTCATCATGAATAACTATTACTTGAATATTAAGTGCAGTGTACATTTTAATTTAGAAACGGAAATTTTCCTTATTTATCCAAATTCAGAAATGAAAAGTGTCGTAGTTTAACCTAATTTTATTTCTTTAGCTTTCTTAAGGAAACGCCAATAAACTACAGATAGAAACATAACATCCATCTTTATATATATGCGTGTGTGTGCGTGTAGGTGGTCGGTATTAAAAGAAAGGCGAATATAGAATAAAGACAAGAGAAGAGAAGAACAAAGAGAAAGTCAATTAGAGAATACACATCAAAGATAACATGAACTAAGGTAACCGTCATACATCATAATCAAATAATTCTCATTGAAACTTTACTATTATGATATTAGTTGAAAAGTGATATAATAATGTGGAAAAAAAAGGGCACAGTTTTTACTATCGTTTCATATAGAGAGTAAGTTTCTTTAAGCTTTTCATAAAGAATTAAAATACTGCTGTCACTACTTTTTATATCTCTCAAGTAGTATACATAATGAGTTTTTTATTAGAATTCACTAGACTTCAAACGGAAATTCTCCGTACATTAACGGGTCATGACTACCGCATTATTATTATGATTATTTTCATATCTTCAGTCTTTTTAATGAGAAAGCTTTTCTTCCTCTTTTCGACAAAGAATAGACATGATTTTCATACAACTCTAGAATCAGTTAGAATTTTTAAAAAAAATGTTTCACAGTTTTTTCAACTTGCTAGTTAAATCATCTTAGTGCTAGAAAATATATTTAGTACAGCGATATTTTCTCACTTTTAGCAAAAATAAATTATTATTAGTATAGGTTTTCTCTTTTAAGTAATTCATTATCATAATTTACAAAAGAACTATATTCTATCATTTATCAGTTTTAAACATGAAGCGACATATCTTGCGCTATTTCTTTTAATCTCTCTATTTCGTTTCAGATTACATTTGTGACATATGAACGTTCTTGATATGCACCCTTCATTATGAAAAATTATTACGCTTTCTTACTAATGACATTACCCTATAAAAAGTATCTCATTTTTATGGGAATCTTTTCAGATTCTAATCATATCTGAAAAAGTCTCTGATGAACACGCACACGTCATTTTTCAATAATAGTGTTATGATAATGACACATTCTATCATATCATATAATCTTATTCACTAGTAAAATATGTTTTTCAATATACAAACGAATGCAACAGTAGGTGATACTACACTCATTATTCACTTATCCAACGTAGGTCTATATGTTATGCGTTATGTTCTTATGGTTATGGTTATTCTTGGTCTTGTTGGGAACATTTTCAATATACTTGTTTTTCATCAACCTAAACTTCGTTCAAATCCATGTTCATTTTATCTAATTACTTCTGCTTATGTTAATATTGTTTGGATAATGACAAGTCCATTATCACGTATGCTTGCTACATTTCAACTCGATTTATCAGAAAATATTAGTATTCTTTGTAAAATACGTCGATCTGTTGCTTACTCATTTTCAAGTTTATCAATGATTTCTATTGCTTTTGCAACAGTCGACAGATTTCTTGTTAGTAGTTCAAAAATAGAATATCGTCGATTAAGTTCATTACGTAATGCTCATCGTTTAATAATAATAACTGCCTTTATTTATTGTCTTATATTTGCCGATATGTTTTATTGTCTTGATATAGTTGGTGTACCTCCATCAATAACATGTACAATTAATACAACACGTATGTGTGGTCTTTATAATGAGATAGCTCGTTTAATAGTACTTGTATTCATTCCAAGTATGTTAATTTTAATTTTTGGTTATGGAACAATACGAAATGTAAAGAAAAGTCGAAGAATAAGTCGACCACAAGGAAATACTATTCATCGAATTGATCGACATCTTACTCAGGTAAGAAAATCATATATTAAACTGCTAAAAAACGAATGATTTCTTACAATATATATATTACTTTATAGATGGTTATCGGACAAATAGTTTTAATTATGATATCATATATTCCAAATACAATTCAACGTATATATTTAGTTCTTACACTTGATTTCGAAAAAAGTCCATTACGTTTAAGAATGGAAATACTTTCTGGTGAAGTGACATTATTATTGACAACATTTCAAAGTTCAATTTCATTTTATATTTATGCAACGACGGGTGGAGCGCTCTTTCGACAAACGTTAAAAGAATTATTCACGCGTGGTTTTTTTAGATATTGTCATGTTATTGAAGATAGTCATGCGGAAGAAATTTTAGAACTCCGCCAAATGAAAAATACTGTAGAAGTGTAGGTTTTTTTGTGTGTATTTTTAGTGAATAACATAAACAATTACATTGATATAGAAGCGTTGTTTTGTGATAAAACTAAAAATAAAACATGTTTTTTTTCTTCTTATATTTTTCTTTTGTGCTATACGAATTACATTTAAAAGTATGAAAATATAGATCTAACAGAGTAAAAGCAAGCAACATTAGAGTTTTATTGAAAATGAACTGAAATATTCAATGAAATAATGCCATGCAAAATTTCTCAGAATAACCTACTTTCAATTGAGTAAAAACCAGAAAATCTAGTCAATTAATTTAATATGATTGTATTAAATTTGTTTACCACGGTGAAGAGTGAGTGAGAGAGAACTTGTAACCCGATTGAATCATTATATTTTCAGTCTCGGCATTAAATAAATAAGTAGCAAGAGTAAAAATACATCTATGAATAGACAATTTTCATATATATAGATCTTTTCAACAACTGATTATTAATTCGTATTATAAGAGTTAAAATTTGACACTAACTTCTAAAATTAATTTATAGCATAGAACTATTCTATATATAATTATGTAACTGTAATAAAATGACGTTGCTAGTTATTTCATCATGCAATTCTTCATTAACAATGAATATACGATATAAATATCTAATAAATATTTTTCTTATATATACTTGCTTTCTCATTAGTCACGTCTTTTATTAATTAATAAGTGTTAATAGTAACTATAAATTTCCTTAAGATCATATTTAACTCCGTAAACTATTTATGAATTGAACTTGAGTATATTATATCGTTCTATTAAATTATAAGAGTATATAAAAACCTAAAAGGGCCGTTGATAGAGAATTTTTTTAATAACTACAATAGAGAAGATTTGAATTTCTTTCGTTTGTTTTTCTTCTATGCTTTTATTACCATATTCAAACATAATTATCTACAGCGAAAAAGAAATTCGAAACACATTGTATCTTAGGATATCTTCGTTTTTGACAACGAATAAAATTTCAAAACATAAAAGTTATTTAAAAAAAACAAAGACGACAATTTCTTATTCTACAATCTAATTATATTCTAATTAGGATAAAAAGAAAAAAGAAAACTTATAGACTTATTATAAAGATCAGTCTTAATATTCCTAAACTCTATGTATGTTATACCAAATCTATGATATACACTATTGATTTCTTCTATTGAAAACAAATGTAACGTGTCTAATAATAGTAACGACAAGTTTGTTATGACTTATCGAAGTACAGATCAATGTGACATAGAATATGTTAAGAAATGATCTTATAAATTCATATTTTATTCAGATGCAGCATATATATGCCATTATGAAAAACATCTAAATATTGATAAATAGACAATTAAGAAAAAGAAAGAGACGCAAACCAAAAGGATTCAGTTCTGTTTTATCAACTCATTAAGATCAATTAGAGGAACTTCACAGTTGGTTGACAAACATATTTTTTCTCATTTTGTCAATAAAAAGTATCTTTTCCGTTTCGTCAACCATTTTTCTTTTTCCATTGACAGATGCTATTTTAATAATAAAGCATTTAGTCGACAAGTTAATGCGCAAGTAATAAATAATTACCCAGAATCACTATTTGCCTAATAAAAATTTAATCTAGAAATATGAGAGTAGATGTGGGTCTTCTCGACATCCATAGTGACATTCCTTATCCGTTTGGGTCATCATTTATAAAACACTAGTAGTGATTCACTTCTATCATATCTTATTACTTTCTAAAAAAGAATAAATACTCATTATGTGCTTAATTACTGATGCCTTGACTTGTTAACTAAACACTTAATTATTAGATTATGGTCTATCAAAGGAAGAAAAGTTGTCGACAAAATGAAAAAAAAATATTTGTTGAAGAAACCGAATGATACCAAAACAAAAAAGCAATATTCTTTGTATACACAAACACAGATGGGCACAATACAAGCATGAAATAATTTGAAAATGTATTTTTTCCACCTTCCCATAAAGAAAACAATCATTACTTTCTATTATTATATCGATGATGTTTTTTAATAGACTCTTACATAAATATATACTCTGCGAACTGTTGTACAAACAAAATAATGAAGACAACAAATCCGCTTTTCTCACACGACACATTGTATAAAGAAAAAACAAAACAATAACCGAACTTTAGTTCTGATACAATTTTTTATGATTTTACCTTTGTTTGTTATTCAAAATGAATATACTCTAAAAAAAACAGTGGATTTCATGCTTTCGTGCGAAATATAATATGTTTATAAATAAGTGAAGCATGCGAATATAAACATAAGAAGAAAACAATGAAGGAAAATTAAATTGTTCTCCATTATTATACAAATTGCAACTTTTCTTTTGTATAATTGAAATCTAGCTGCATTTGACAAATAACCTTATGATTTATTTAATCGATTTTTTTCATATATTATTTTCCCCTAACTATCCCACACTTACATCAAATTTCAGTTCTTTAATTCAGGCGGTCGCTGAGTTGTGAAAGACATATTACAAGAGAATATCATTTGTTGATGACATGTGAAAAGAAAAGGAAATCTTTTGACACTAATAAAACAAGCAGAAGGAAATATAAATGTCTCATCTTGTACAGCGTTCGGCCCTCTTTCATTATATATAATTTATTTTAATTTTATTTCATATTGATTCCCTCCTCAAACATTCACATTGTTTGATAGATATTTATATCTTTTTGTGTAGAGTGACACAAACTTAATTCTGTTTCTTCTTGTGATAGAGCTGGCAACGTATACAGAACATATGAGAAAAGAGTCCTTTCAATAACAGACTAACAAGAAAGAGTTCTCTCTTATTAGCTTTATTTCAGAGAAAAAAAAATAAGAAGACTCGCTAAAAATAACTCATTCAACTCACTTTGTTAAGTGACATTTTAAAAATTGTCTTCTCTATAACTTTTCAACGAGTCATTCAATTTAGCTCAAATTTTGACAGTAGATGCAAAACAAACGGTTATATAAGTGATGAAAATTTCAGTTTTTTATCTTTTATGGTTCAGAAGAAATTTGCATTATCCTGAAAAATGTAAAGTCAAGCTTTTTTTAAATAGAAAAAAAATAAAATGACACTTTTTCCGTAGATATATATAGTTGAATTGATCTGAAAATATTCTTTCTAAGTATAAGGGCATTCAGTTGAATGCGGTGAACAAATTTGAGTGCGCTGCCAACTCTTCGTAATTTACTCATTTCCCATCCAAAGCTAAACAATGACTTGAGGCTTTTCAATGAGAAAAGGCAATTTCATAATTAAATTAAGCAACAACTGAACTATATCAGATCTATTTATCTTAATATACAATGACGTGTTGGGAATTTTTTTTCCGCATAACACATAAGTTGCGATTCACTCATATATATATATATATATATATGTATCAGTAGGGCATTGACTTTCGCTAAGGCAATTTTTTAAGCAAATTGATGAACATCGCAATAGCACTTATGAGTGTGGATTGTTTTCTCTTACATTTTTATGTGATGATATATACGTGCACTGATGTCTTCGAATTATAGAAAGCAATGACACTGTTAAGGTTCTCCATGGCTCTTTCTGTTGTTGAGTAAACATATCTGTTCATTATTTTTTGAAACTTAATTTCCTTCTCCTGAAAAAAAATTAATTTTGAAGTAAAAACATAGTGTAATATTCTGATAGCGTCTTCTTCAAAATCCAAGTTTCACCTGAGTACATGAGAGTAAACAAGAACTCTGTAGACATTGAATGTATTTAATCATATGTCAACGAATATTGACTCCAGTTCTCTTGGCCTGTCCGAACCATAAGAACTTAGTATCTTCAGTTTCATTCAATAATCTCAAATGATAGAAAACGATTTTCTTTCTTTTAAAAAACAAAAGACACTTCAACTAGTAATTCTAGAGTATCATTTTTGATTTTTCTCTTTGTTAACTGTTCGAGACGTGTATTTTCAGAGCTGAGCAAGCGCGGATTTTCTCAAGCACAAATATGTTAGAGTGAATTTCCTAAGGCATCACTAGAGAAAATTTAATTAGTAGTTTTAGAAATGACCTGTCGATTTTGAGATCAAGATAATGCAAAAGTCACGAATTAAAATGTTGTTAATATTATTTTTTATTATTATTATAAAGCTACAAACAATCAAACTATATCAAAACTATATTACATTAAAGAAAAGTAAGTAACCATATGTAGTCGACACTGGCAAATGTTGTAGACCAAGATCATATAGACAAGGATAAAGATTTTTTTTTCTAAGAAAAGTAAATTATACTTTTATCACTTTTTTCCGATAGGAAAGCATCAAATTCTACTAAAATATTTAGTTTATTATCAAAAGAAGGTTGTTAGTATGAATCTTCTCTTTACTGACACCCATATTCTTATTGAAGCGTAATATTACAGCAACAAATTTATTTAAATTCAGTAAGAATGAATCATCTATACGAAAGGAACGAAGGAAACTGCATCATATATATATATAGACACGAATCAATTATCGATTACATACTATATTACTAATGAAAGAGAATAACAAAAAAATGAATAACGCCTGTTATACCATAGTAAGCGCCTATATATTCTTATCTGAATACATATTTATATTCGACAAAAAAAAAATAAGAAATCAGCTATTCATTAATTCTTGGAGGACATGAACTATAATTTTATAAGCATCACTTTTATGTAATGCATGCTAACGTAGGATTTAGAGTAAGAGTAGTTTGCCCAGTTCTGTGAATCAAGTTAAAAGCGCGAAATTCGATGAGAAAAAAAATTGTTTTCCTTGAAATAGAACTTATTTTAATAAAAGATCCGTCAAGGTCACCAGTCCAAATTGTTTTCTTTCAAATACATAAAAGGTCGATTCGGTCCGATAAAATTGGAGACATCAACAACCTCAAAATAGATAGATCCGCGAAATTTCAATTCACTCTTATAGACTCGATTGGAAATTTGATTTTTTTCACAGCTAAATCTTCATCACCTT